GTTTCACTGAAGAAGTTTGTTAGACTTGCAAGTAGAAAGAAACCAAAAAAGTTGTTGGCTAAGGTGATGTGAATGCTTTACTTATTTGTATAAACATAAAAATGAAAGTTGTGCTTTCTTCTTCCTTAAAGTGTTAATTTTGTATGCATACTCATGGCTTCTGAGAGGTGAACAGTCACATCCCTCATAGGTTCAAATTGTGACTGGACACATTTACTGAAGACTAATCCCTTGAAGATTATTGAACTCAATTATATCATCTCTAGTACAGGGCATTCCTGGACCACGACTTCTCAGAGAATTGGAGAGCATTCATGCTTGTCTGCTTTACCTTCCTTCTTTGATCACTATTATTAATGCTGCATCTTCATCCAAGTGGTCACCCTTAAATGAACCTTTCCTTCCTCCCAAAAAAGACATCCCCCCAATATACTTCTCTTCTTTCTCACATAGATGGTGACTGGGAAATAAATGTGGGAGAAATCGGAGAACAAATGAAAGGAAACATTATCAATTTGCACCAGGGGAAGTTTAGATTGGATATTAGGAAAAATTTCTTCACCAAAAAGGCTGTCAAGCACTGGATCAGGCTGCCTGAGGAAGTGGTTGAGTCACCATCCCTGGAGTTGTGGTGGTTAGGAACATGGTTTAGTGATGGACTTGGCAGTGCTAGGTTTACAGTTGGACTTGATGATCTTAAGGGTCTTTTCCAAACTATATGATTCTATGATTCTATGAAAAAATAGAGGAATGAGGAGAAATAGTATAGAGCACTCCGCAATCACCCACCACTCATGGAGTAGGAACTCTGGTCTGATGCAACACATCTGTTCTCATGCTGTAGCTACAAAGCCCCTACCAATCTAAGTTAACATTTGTTTTTCTCAGGAATGGTAATGTTCTGCTTTCCCAAGTAGATAGTTGATCTAGTAGAACAGAGACAATAAGCACTTGCAGTCTGCAACAGGCACTGCAAAATTCAAGCTAAATATAGAAGTTGCTCTGTGAATCCCACTTAATTTTGACAGTCGGTTAAACAATTGAGGGCAATAAGGCAACTGTGCAACAGAAAAATGGTGTCATTAAAGGGCGGAAAACGGGCAATTGTAATTGAACAGAAAGCATCACAAGGAATTTCTATGGGCTCCATAATTTCGGGTGCTACGCATCTACAGCAGTTACGCTTTTCGCTCAGATGGTAGTTTTTCGGTCTCACTGGTGAAATGCTGATTTGGAGGTCAGAAACGCAGCTGCCGCCAGCTGCCAGGGTGTCACTGTGCTTTACCGACTGGGTTTGATTTCACCTGCAGAGTTTTCCTTCAGGGCAGCGCGCCAGGGCTCCCAAGTACCCCCCTGGTTATCTTGCGCGTAAGCCGGAGATCCAGGCAGCTCTGCCGCCGCAGTGAAGGGACGAGCCACCTTCGCTCCGCCGGCGGAGCCCCTCTCCTCGCAGGACGCCTTCCCGGGCCAGCGACACGGCGGCGCGGCCCGGGGGACGGGCCTGCCCGCGGGGCGCGGCCTCGGCCCCGGCCCGCGGGTGCGGCGGCACCCGGGACGGGGCGGGCAGAGCGCTGCCAAGGGCGGGCCTAAACCCGCCGACGGCGACGGAGGAGGAGGCGGAGAGGGAGGAGGAGGAGGCGGTGGCGGCGGCGGGGCGGTGCCGCGCCGGGGCGGGGCGGCCCGGGCCCTCCCCCGCCGTCTGGGGGCCGCTGCTCCGCCCCGCTCGCCCGCCCGGCCCGCGGCTGCCGGGAGCGGCTCCATGCGCTCCGGTCGCCAGTGCGCAGCCGCGGCGGAGCCCGGGCGGGGAGGAGGAAGCGGCGCGGCGCGGAGCGAGGGGAAGGAGGCCGCGGCGGCTCATGGCTCCGCGGGCGAGGCGCGGGTGTGCGGGCCGCTAGCGCTCCCCGAGGCAGCAGCTCCGGCGGGCGAGGGGGCGAGACGCGCCCGGCCCCTCTTGCGGCGGCTGCTCAGGCTCCGTGTTGGGGGCGCGGCGGTGGCAGGTCCGGCTCCTCCTCGCCTCCCTGCGGGCGGGTGTTATGGCCCCGCGGGGGAGCGCAGAAGGCTCCCCGGCTTGGAGGTCAGCGCAGCTCCTGCTCCTCGTCGTCTCCTGCTGCGGTAGGTACCGGGGGAGTGACGCCAACCGCCCGCCTCCGTCTCCCGGGCCGGGAGGCGGCCGCCCGCCGCGGGGGAGGGGGAACAAAGCGGCCTTTCTCCTGGCCGGCCTGCGGCGGCCCCGGCCGGCGGAGGGGTCCCTCTGCCCGCCCGGGGCCCCGGCGCCTCTCGGGACCGCCGCCGCCTTCCCCGCGGCGGCCCCGCTGGTGTCCCCGTACCGCCCCGGCCCCCTCCTCCCCTCCGAGCGCGGCTGCTCCAGGACTCGCGCCGGCTGTTTTCTTACCCGTGTGGGGTGGGCGGAAATCTCCTCAGGGAAGTCCTTAAAACTGAGGCTGGGGTTTGTTTGGCCCAGCTGCCCTCGGCTGTCTCTCTCGCAGATGTACGTTGCCGGGAACTCCGGAGTTGGCGTGGGGCCGCGTAAACAAACCAACCCCAAATCCTCTGAGTCACGAATAATCGCAGTCTGGGGATCCTGGGGGATGCTGGGGAGATGTTCCACGTCCGGCCGGGCTGGGACGGCCGCGGCACGGTGTCCGGGGGCAGGACGGGCCCGTGGGAGGGCCGTGGGGCTGGCGCGGTGCGATGAGTTTGTGACACATCGGCGCAGGCCCTGAAGCCCTTCCAGGGACCTTTGCTTCGGCTCAGCCTGCTTTCAGTTCATGCGCAAATGGCATTTCGTTTACGGTTATAAACCCCCCTTTAAACAGAACTGCTAATGAAAAATACTTGTGTAAACGTGTTAGGCTGTGTGCTTATGTTGGCTTTCACAGTATGTAAGTGGCAGATACTTGACAACAAGAGTCATCGGATGTTTTCTCACAGAGTTGTGTTTGTTTACGAACTCGAGTGTAGGTTGTGTCCGTGGGCGTCCAACGGGAGAAGCAGCTTTTGGCATGTGCCTGGCTCCGAGGAGGACAGCAACAAGGGCCCTGGTTTAGCAGCATCTGAAGTAGATGCCTTTGCTTTAAACACATGATTGAGCGTATTATATTGGAATCTCTTTCACTGTTTAGGAAAACAAACTTGACTCTGGAACATCAAGGCATTTCGGGTTTGTCTGTGCAGAGGGCTTTGTCCAGCACGTGCCTGTGCTGCAAAGATCAGTGCAAACTCTTAAGTGTAGATGTACCACATAAGTTTGCAAGAACATTTACCATTTCATATTTACATGAGTAGGAGTAAGGTAGGCTTCTTCAAACAGTTACGGTTACGCCAGTACTTGTAATTGAATAGTTACACTGGTGTACTTCAGTTTTTAAGGGGGCCTACTTGTATGAACAAAGTGAGGTACTGACCAGTCTTTTAAATGGACACAAAGTCAAGGAAAAGAGTTTTAATGTCTATATAGACAGTTACAAATTTGGTATGTCAAAATCTGAAGTGAAAGCACAACTGGAAAGGAGTTGGCTCATGGTAGAGCAGGAAGTGGTAGGGAAAATACTATGTCTGGATATATTAAGCTGTCTTTTTATACTTAATGTACTTGAGAAATTTAATTTCTGTGTAGAGATTTTTAACAATCTCTGTGTTTGTTTCATTATACTTGCCACAGAAATGAAGTAAAAAGTCAAAATTGTAATTTTGATATACCTCATCAGCCTGACTTCAGTAGATTGATTTGGATTGTGATGCTGTAATTGAGGAAGCATTGTCAGCATTTCTACTATAAAAATTGAAACCACAAGCTCAATCTTTAGTTAGAGAAAAAGCAACCAAATAAAATTCTTGCTGAATAACATTTTTCATAGAGGTTTAATCAAGGCTTTCCAAAGTTCAACCAAAAATGAAGGCTCCTTAAGTTTCTTTTGTCTTGCTGAGAAGCATATCGCCATCCATTATCGTCACTTTCAGAAAGGAGAAACTGCTTCAGATGTTGATCAGTGTGCTGCCATATCCTCATGCAGGATTGATTCCTGCTAACAGTTTTTGTTACAAATGTCTGAAGTTCTGACCAGCTTCGCTGCTCAGAGGAAAGGAACTTTCTCCTCCCCAGGCAAGAGTATCCAATATGAAAGCAAGTATTCGCTGTGTAGTGTAGCCCTATCTCTAGCTGTTGTTTTGGTTTCTCCTGTTTGTTTCTGTTGGGAGAAGGAAGTGGGAGTGGAAACTGTGCCCTATTAAAGCGTTTTACCTTCCTGTACAACTGCTTTTAGCTCTTCCAGACTAAAGTAATTTAATATTGGCATGAATTTTATCAAAGTATTGCTGACAGCAGAGCTCTGTACTGTGATGTTGATCCTCATAGATCATTGTTATTGCATGTTAAGGCTTTGACTATAGTAGGTGGTACTCAAGGTAGATGCACACTTGGAAAAGTAGTGGTACATCACTTCAGTTGCCTTCACTATGCAGTTGCACAGCTAGAATATCTAGAATTTTCCACTAATTAAAATACTGTATTCATCAAGGTTGATATGTGGGCATTGAGCTCTCCAGAGAATGTGTCTCTGTTTCCCTGTAGTTAGTGAATTTTTCAAACCTTCCTTCTGATGATGACTATAATTATAAAAATTTGAGAAGGTGGAATACTGATGAGTGAAATATTGGAATAGCACTGACTGACGAGAATTATAGCTTGGTGGGGTGTTGGGCAATGGTATTTGTTTTTAATATGTCTGGCCTTCCTGTTGGCTTGAGAGTGTTATATCCAAGAAATAATTGATTGTGTCCCTATATAATCCTGGCATGGCTTTTACTGGGACAAATAAGAAGACATTTCTGCATATCTCGAAGGCCCTAACAGTTATCTGAGTTCAAAACAGAGCCGTGTGATGCAAAGTAGGGTTTTTTTTAGGGGAAAAATGTCATTTGAGAAATTGATCCTGTTCTTGAGGGCAGTGTTTTTCAAACCAAAGTTTGATGATTGATCAACTAAAAATTAAATGAATCATAGAATCATTTATGCTGGAAAAGACCTTTAAGATCATTGAGTCCAACCATTAACCTAACACTGCCAAGTCTACTACTAGACCATGTCCCTAAGTGGCACATCTACATGTCTTTTAAATACCTCCAGGGAGGGTGATCTTACTTGTTTTCTTGTTAAAACATGAGCTTAGATTAGAGAACTGAATGTTGTTAACCTAATGTTATAATTTTGTTTAGCCCTTGGCAGGATGATGGTTCATATTTTACTGGTACTGTGATGGAGCATTTTCAGGACCAGTTTGGGAGGTATTGGTGTTCCAGAGCAGAGGTTTGAAACATCTCTGAGGTGGCACAGTGCAAAAGCTGGGACATGCCTTCCTTTGGAATGGAGTCTGGAAGCATGGGTACTTGGCGGCTTCAGATTTCTGGAAAGTCAATTTTTTTTTATAGTCTTAACTCTACTTGTCACCCTGATATATTAATTTGAATTTCTGTCCCACTGAACAGAAGACTACAGGAAACTTTTATAGTGTTCTGTACAGTTGATAGTAGTCAATGCAGTAGTACAGTAGGTAAATTTCCCTGCTTCTGGCTTCACCCAATGTAAGGAGTATCAAAATAAAAGTTTTACAGTAGTAGGACAACAAGACCAATACAGTTCAAAGGTAGAGGTGGGAGCAGACAGAGATCAGTCTTAATTCTCTCTATCTCCAGGATGGGTTTGGCTTTAGTGAGTACCTCTTGAAGCACTGATGACTGAGAAGCTTTAGAGAAGGTCAGAAAATTATTATTCCCCAAAACTGTAGTTGAAACAATGTTGTATGTTACTAGTGAGACTGCAGTGCTATTGGCATTATTCTGTCCCGTTAAAGAAGACATATTGCACTTATAAGCTTTAAAACACTTAGTTTTGGGCTAGAACCATTCCAGGTTTCTGTGGTACAAATGTTGCTTGAGATTACAATGAGACTATGTGTGTGTATATATATTAAATTCATTATTCATTTGGTTTCAAGATAAGGCAGGTACAGTTGTCATAAAAGTTTACTGGTCAGGACTCAAATTTTACTTACATGTCAGTTTGCTAATGATGGTATGAGGAAAAAGAATAATTCTTCAGGTTTGTTAACCTCGTTTGAAAGAATAGCTTGAATCATGTAAGCAAATAAAGTCTGCCAGCCAGTTTATTTAATTTTCTAAAGAAGTTGACCTGTAAAGCCAGAACAGACTGTCCCAAAGGAATGACTTGGCTTAATAAATTATTGTACCTTAAACTCTTGAATGTCACTCTTTAGTGATACATTTGTGATATACTGAACAGATATATTTTGCTAAGCTATAAATCGTATTATTGGCACAACTGCTGCATTTAATTTATTAGAATGGTTTTGTAGTCCTTCAAGTGAAAATGTCATAATTCTAATGGCATAGAAGTTTGTACTGTCTAATAGGGTGATCATATGTCAAGTTGTGCAAGTATGTATGTAGTCAGCTGTCTCTTCAGAGCCACAGTTAGGTCTGTAGTCAAAGTATCTATGAGGTCACGTGGAAAATATTAAAGTAGCGCTCACTGGAGGGGAGAAATAAAAACCCACATCCTAGACAACCTTGTGGCAAAAAGAGCATGAAAATTTAATCTAAGGTAGTTGGTGTGATTGTGTGCTAAATGAGAACATTGTCAGCCAGAAGAGCAGAGAGGTACTTGCAGCCAGAGTCAGGGCAGAAGCCATCTGACTCCATTCCTGTCATCAGAGCAAAGCATATAATTAGCATGGCCTTTTTGGCTGTTTCTGTCATTGCTGGGAGAGGAACAGCCCTGCTGGGTTAGTGTTGGAAGGGCCCTACAGGTGAATCAGTTCGACTCCTTTGTTTTAGTCACACCTGTTTTGGCATTAGATAAATGTAAACTGTGTGGGTATTCTTTTCAACTAAGCTCTAAATACATTGTTTTATACTTGTTCTGGCTAGAACTTGCAGTTATGACTCTTATGAGTCTTGTTTGTCAACGGATCTCAAATTTTTAAACTTGGTATCTTTGGTATGTTAGGTACATCCCTCCACATATCATTTATGTTTTGCCATACACCCCAGTTTCCCAAGCTGTAGACATTATTTTCATACTTGTCAAGTATAATTACTAATTTCCTTACATTTTTAAAAAAATTAATGAGTGCTATTTGTACTGCATAAATAGTGTGGTTTTGCTTTCCTAGGTGTCTCTGCATTTTCCAATTCCAGTGTTCCATTTATGTTGTCCCAGATAGTTAACAGTGGTGTTAAATACTGGAACAGCTGAGAAATCTAGCTAGGCATTAATTGGAAGAGTGTGATTTGTCAACAACCTGGGAATTTTTTTGCTTGTATGCATTTCAGAATTACTAGCTGTAACATTTTGCAGTACCGATTATTACTGAGGTGTCAGTTGATTGGCAAGATTCAGCCTACTTAATTTACATGGTGGTAAGAAACACTGGGTACCAATGCATTTGATACCATTGAAGTTGGTTGTAGATCTGAGTTCCTGGGTTTATCCCCTCGGTAGAAATAAATGCTTACAGAAGACAAATATTTATAGCAGGCTGTATGATACCACCCTGTAGAACTGTGTTCTGACTACATTTCTCTTTTGTTTTCTACACTTTATTTTTTGCTGCAGTTGTTACTTTAATAATACTTTATTACATGAAGGTTTACAGTTACATTGAAATATGTAGTATTGATTCTTGTATCTAAGTTTAAGCTACTAAGTTTAGTGTAATTGACAGAGCAATGCAAATACTTTCAAAAGCACTATTCTAAATTGTGTCTCTGACTTGTTTCTCTGAACAGATGCTTTAAATTTGGATATACTATAACTTTTGCTACATTGTTAACGTGTTGATGATGTCTTTTTAGCAAGGCAAGCATATTTACTAGCTATCTGCTAGATTATTTTTTCCTGCTATTTTATTTGACGCTCTGAATTTTTGCTACCGGATCAAAAATAGGTTAGGAAGCAAGAATAAGAGCACCCCCAAAATTTAAGAAGCTTACAAGTAGAGCGGATTTTGAAGGGTGGGGGGGGGAGTCACATGAAAACATTTGGTTTAGTAGCTTGAGTTGTCATAAGATGGTCTCTCTTTTCATTTAAGCATCTTGTGACTCATCATTACTTTCCCAGCTACTTTTATATGGTTGTGACATTTTTTTGATATGCAAGAAAGCTGAACTTGCTCACTCTTAGTGAACTATATAAGCTTTCCACAGAGCAATGAAAGCAAATGAGTTGTGTTTCTCTGTAAGGGGAAAGTACGCCTGCACTATGTATTGGGATGTGAACTGCATGTTTTCACCCATCTGATTGTGTGTCAGTAATTCATGACTACCCGTCCTTTAACTTCTGAGATGTTTCCTCTAAGTGGAAGCCCCTGGGACTGACTGGGTAATCAGAGCAGACTTTTTAAGTCAGTTATTGCCAGAAAACAGTAGAGGGATCCTCTAACAAGCAGTGTGAGTACACTTTGGCATGTGGTGGAAGTCAATAATGAAACTGCTTTTGTTTAAAAGTTAGGAAAAAATGACTCTGCTAGAGGCTCCTGTAACTTGATTTTATTACTGCAGCTTTGTATGAACCTATTGGGAGACACAAATAGGTCCTTCTGAAAGTACAGATTGTGAGAATAATTCTTTCATGAAAAAAAAAAAAGGATTTTGTTTTTCCTCTGATATATACACTGTTACTAGTTGTAAGTTTGTTCTAGTCAATGATGTCTCTTAAAAATTTAGTGCTCTTACTCGTTTAAAGAACTGCTTCTTTAGAACTTTTTAGTAACTGAAGGTGAGCAGTTTAGAACAGAAAATGGAAGTCTTGTTGATGTATGTTGTATAGGGAAGGCATGCACTTACATTCATGTGCTCTGGCTTCTAGATTTTAGCCATATATGAATTTTCATAAGACTCTGCTTGGTGCCTTTTCTTTCTACATTTTACAAAGTGTATTAGAATCCAGTGCATTAGTATATCCTGGTGAGGTGTTTCCATTCTATGAAATTGCATTTTGCATATCTCAAGTAAAAAAGTAAAAGCTTTAGTTAGGGATGTTCTAGCAAGTGGGACTGAGACAGGTAATGAATAGGTCACATGCAGTAAACAAATCCATGTAAGTGTTCCTCTTATCTCATAGTTTTAAGTGGAGGCTTTAACCCTCTTCTCCTTTTTTTCCTGCACATAGAGCTCAACAGAGTCATTTCCAAAGAGAATGATTCCAGAGTCCTAATTAATGTGCTGTTTTATTCACAGTATTGTTGTATTTACTCCCGTCTGTTCTTCTTACTACTAAGCAATTACATTTTTCCATTTGCTCTCTTCTAAAGAAGTGCTCAGAGAAAAGTGCACAGGGATTTAACTCAAAATGTGTGTCTGAACTGTGTGGAAATATTTGTAACTGGACTTGGGCAAGTACATCTTTCATTTTTTTTCTACACTTGATAATTTTTTAAAAGTATGGAGACAGAACACTTTTCCTTTCTGTGATGTAAACATCAATTTAAATATTCTGAAAGAGATGCCTATTGGTGAGTCCAGAAGGTGAGTGATAAAATCATCAGTCACGTGTCTCTTGATCACAGCAACATGCAGTTGGAAGTACTGACTGGGATGGATTTGGATGGTTGTGTAATTAGTAGAAATGGCTCCCCTCAACAGACCACCTTCCATTGTTCGTGTTTCCTATCTAAAGGTACTGAAAGAGCAACCAGTTCCATGGCTAAAAGTTCAGCTAGTGTCTGTGATTAGAGACATTCATGAAGACTGGGGAGCTGGGATGGTGAGTGAGGGACAGATTGGGACGTTTTGGGAAGTTCAGAGCTAAAGATGGCAGAACTATTCTTCAGTGTGGAAAAGGAACCCAAGCTGTCTGGGAGAGCAGCTATTGTTCAAGTGGCTGTGCAAGTGGAAGGGAGGAAGGGAGCCAGCCCTTTAAAATTAAAGTGTGTTATGGTGGCAGAGTGAGCATCAAATCAGTCTAGAACGTTACTCCTTTGAGTTATCAGCAAGCAAAAAAAGGGATTTCAGTGCAGGAGGAGCTCAGGAATCACATGAGGTCTCATTCTCAGGCAGTGAGATGTTACAGAAACATTAGATTGTTGCATTTTACCCGTGCTTTAGAAAAGTGGATGAACAGA